GCCATCACCCCATGCCAGGAAGGCTGGGCCTGATCTGAAGTGAGAGCTGAGGAAGCCGACACCAGATGGGGCCCCTTTAGAAAATCAAACCTAAGGGCCTGCTTATTAGCAATTCCCGCTCGCAAGAGACATTTAGGCTAGACGTTTAGGCTCGCAAGAGATGTTTAGACATTTAAGCGTTTCTTTCCCAAGGGCCTTCATTAAGAACACATTATGTACCACAAAAGGCACCCCCGCCAGAGCTGCAGCTCCCCAAAAGGTGGGAGAAACTGTCATCGGGCCATGAAGTTTCAGAAAAGACTGTAGGTGACTCCAGCATCCCAGGCCAGGGTCCCTTGACAATGAGGATGTGTCTAGATCTCTGTGATCCTCTGACCTGAGTTTCAAGAGCAGGACTAGCAGAATCCCAAAGAGAAATGAGGAAAACAAGCAGTTGTGACCAACCTTCTGCTATAATGGTAACAATAAACGCTTTTAGATTTGCTACTCCGGGTCTCTGCATTCTAGCTCTCCTAAGAATCCCAGAACGAGGATTCCGTCGCCACTTGTTGGCTGAAGACAGAGGCTCAGAGAGATGAAGGAATCGCCTGAGGACACACAGCGAGGATGCTGGACAGAGGATTCTCCAAGCTCAGGTGCACTGCACTGCTCCCCGGTGCTTCCTCTCATCAAATCCTGGATGGCATGAAAGGTCCTCCTGATCCTGAATGCATCCAGATCACAAGGATACAAGTGTGCCTGTTATTATCTGAAATGCAAAACCACCTACCATAGTCATCGCTTTCACACAGCCTTCAACAAAACCCCCACCAACGGCCCATTCTGGAGGGTAGTCTGCCAAGACCGCACCTATCCCTGAAACGGCAAATCCCTGAAAATAAGACAATGTCTTATATTAATTTTTTCTTCCAAAGCTGCGCTAGGTCTTATTTTCAGGGATGTCTTATCTTTCCATGCGCTAGGTCTTATTTTCGGAGGATGTCTTATTTTCGGGGAAACACGGTATGGTGGGCTAAAAAACAGCTCCCTAAAATACATGCCCACATCCTAATCCTAGAACCCGTATTATTACAAATGGCAAAACCTGTGATTACGTTAATGACCCTGAGATAGTGGCTTGTCAGGGTTATCATTAGGAGGGGCTGTGGGGACAGACTCAGAGAAGGCAGTGATATGACATTAGAGGTACAGATTTGGGAGATTTAGCTAAAAGAGGAGGCATACCCAGGATTACAGGCAGACACCAGAAGCTAGAAGAGACATGGAACAGATGAGGCTCTAGAACTGGAGGGAGGACACACCTGCTTCCAGGCTTTGGCCTCCAGAGTTGTGACAGCTGCTAATGGAAGCACCCCAGTTTGTGTTGATTTGTTACAGCAGCCACAAGAAACTAATACTCTCTCGGAATAGGCCAGGCCCCATCACGTGGAGGTAATGTGTGGTTCAGAGACTGAGAGTTACAGGCTCCTACATGTTGTCTCAGGGTTTCTCAGTACCCCAAACCCCACAGACCCATTTTTCAGGGGTGCAACAGGGAGCTGCTCCGTTTAAAACAAATTCCTGAAGCTTTAGAAACCACGCTGATGGACACAGGGGTGCTGAAGGGCAACGGCTTGGGCTGCCACTTGGAAAACTAGGACCTGGTCTGCGGACAATGAGACGAGTTTGGGGGGATGTGGGGGTGTCCATATTAGGGTTTAAGAAGCTCCCTAAGGTATATATTGGATGTTGGCGGGAGGGCAGAAAGCATGTGACTAGGTGGTCTACTATTTTGATATTTAGAGAGATCTGCATGTCGGCTGTTAGCACAGGAACCGACCCCACTCCCACCTGAGCTTTTTTTTTTTGGCGGGGGGCGGGGTTACAAGGGCACTGAGCGACATTCCAGCATGGCTGAAAGGATTATGGAAGTGACTGACAACTTGGAAGTCCCGAGAACACAAAATGTGAAAGCATTATGGGAAATTTCCATTCCCCTCTTACCACAATACAGGTTTAGAGTTGGCAATTTTGTTCATTCCTTCCTCCAACAAACATACATGGAGCACCCCTGTGCGCGGGTCTCTGAACCAGGACCCCAGTGCAGGGCAGTGAGCACAGAAGCCACAGCCCTGTCCCGGAGGGCTCTCTGAGCAACGGTTCCCACCACAAGCACTCCTGTCCCCCAGGGGCCACCCGGCCACGTCAAGACATTTCTGGTTGCCATGACTAGTGGGGGAGGAGGGCATCTAGTGGGGAGAGGCCAGGGATGCTAACACCCTACCATGCTTGGACAGCCCCCCACCTCTAAGAATTTCGTGCGCAAAATGCCAACAGCATGGAGTGGTGCCACAGACAGGACAGTGGGGGAGAGGTTAGAGGGAGGGGAGAGCAGGAAGCTGTGGAGCATACTGGGGAGACGGCACCCACCCTTGTCTCCCGCGCTGTCTCTGCTGAGGCCTGAGGATGCGAGGAGTGTCCAGGTGGGAAGCAGGGAGTGGGCGCAGGAGCAGAGCCCATCCTTCCTGGCAGAGGAACCGGCATCCTTGAGAGTGGAAAAGAAAACTGACCGCTCCTCCACCTGGCTAGAGAGGAAGTGAGTGCAGGCGGAGGAGGGCGCCAGGCGAAGCTCAGGCCTGCCCCATCGCGGCTGGAGGACCCAGCTGACTGCGCAGGAGGCACACCTGCGTCAGGAGCACAGGCTTGGAGTCCGAGGTGACTTTACATCCCAGCTCCACCACCCTTCCTGCTCCATGACCTTGGACAAGACACAAACCCTGAGTGTCTAAACCGGGTTTCAGAGCATAAAGCAGAGGATGGAGGGAGAATAACACCTCTCAGGTGTGGGGCTGGAATGAGGACGCACCAGTGCAGCTCCCTCACCACGTGCTGCTGCAAACATCCGTTTCATCTGTGTTTCCAAAGGTCACTCGGGGGTCAGTGTGCGAACTAAATTGGGGCAGGACCCCAGAATAAAGTGACGAGACGTCACGGTTTTTAACAATTTGTCCCGCATCCCACGGCGTTTTAAAAAAGTCCCGATTTTTCCCAAAAAAAATTGGGACTTTTTTAAAATGCCGCGGGACAAACTGTTAAAAATCAGGACTGTTCCGCCAAAAAGCGGGACGTATGGTCACCTTACCCCAGAATCACTCCTCCTTGGGGATACAGAGCTAAAAGCAAAAGCAAAACACGGAGATTTCACAAAATAAGAACGAGCAGGCGGGAAGCAGCGCTTCGGACGGACATTCAGGTCCTGATGACAACACTGTGTGACTTTGCCTAACCACGGCGGCAACAGGGACAGTGATGGCCCTGAAATCGCTCCTCTGAAGGTCTGCTTGTTCTAGAAGTGAACACAATACATATCATCCCTCCTAGTCAGCCGAGAAGTGAACGCCAGGGAAACCTTCACCACAGTCCATTGGTGATGGCAACGACCTTGCACCCTGATCAGGGCAGAGTCAAAGACTCCTCTGTACAAACCTTAGGTAAGCCATCTCGATCCAACCTTCTCGATAGTCGCTCACTGCCCGAGGAAGGGTTTCGAGTTGACCCCTGGCACCCCTGCCTGCACCCAACTTGTGGGAAGAACTTAGGATACATTCCCATCGATGGTCCTTAAAGGGGACGGATGCGTTTTTTTAATCCACTCCCGGTGAACTGTCTCATTACCCAGAATTCAATCCCTTGGGCCCGATACTGTTGGTGGCAGACAACTGGGCTGTATGGGAGCGACTGTGTCACAGCCAGAGGGTGACACGTGGTCTGTCACTGTGCTTGGCTTTCAGAAATGAACTTACAGGGACAGCATATGCCAAACAGGGAGGGGAGAATCAACCCCTCGAGGGGGTTGGAGACCAGGCCTTGGCACCCGAGACACCACCCACCACCCCGTACCAGCCCCGGGATCTCAGGTTCCAGCAGGCAGGTCCCGGTTTCCCCCGGAGATAAAATGCAAAATCACAGACACGCGTGACCAGCCTTCGTCTGCACACACTAAGTTGCTTTTATTAACCCAGCACGGCATGCTACAGATACTGTACAGCATGAACATTTATTTATTCATTACAAAAATGGCTTCCAAACCATTAGAAATGAAATTGGAATAAGAGCATAAAACGGAACAGTAACATCACAACTGTTAGGAAACATTCAAAGTATTCACACACACACAAAATAAAATGTTATCGTTAGCATCTTAATAAACCAGAGGAAAAAATCGGAGACAGTTTTACAATCGCTTCATGTCAACTACAATGGCACTGGATGAACAGGTTTCAGCTTTATACAGCATTTTGCAACATCAACATGCCTAGGTTTTGTTTATTTTTTTAAAAGTTCGCTACCTCCTCGTTATGTGTCGGACAGGTAACACCGAAGCGGAAGCCGGTTTTGTTCCTTTAAGAGTAATCTAATATACAGAATTTTGGCCCTTAAGGGTTTATACCTCTTCATTTAAAATGCTTTTTTTTTTTTCTGGACAATCTGCTACCAAACACATCTTGTTATAGGTGACATTAGAACTACACACAGATCTACCTATGTAACATCACAGCCAAACATGGTGAACGGAAATTACACATCGAAAAAGAGGGAGAAAGCTAGAGTCACTGAGAGTTTTGGCACATAAAGTTCCGCAGTCAAGTCCTCATCCTCGGGGCGCAGGGCACTCGGCCGTGAGTTCAAAGGGGGGGACACGGGGAGGGTGCTCCCGCCGCTGCTCAGACAGCGCCGCTAAGATTCCCTCGCTAATTTTCAAGTCTTGTTTCACATAATGGCTTTTTAAAGCAACCTCTGTTAATGCTACTGATCCCTTAATGCAACTATTCATGTCCATTTGGCGGCATCTGGGTTTCATACAGAAAAAAAAAAAAAAAAAAAAAAAAAGTCGAAAATGGAAACAAAAAAAATATATATATACACATTTTATATATAAACTTAAAAACCTTGTACAAATGAGTTGTTATATATAAGATGCTGATGCTAAGGGGGGTGGGGGGGAAGACTTTATACAGGTCCAAGAGAAAAAGGAAAGCATAGTTTAAAAGGGACGACGTACAGGTTCGACGAGCAATCTCTAAAGCAATAAATACTACTGGTCCGACAGCGCTGTGATGCCATTAAGTGTGAAGTAGCATCCCCCCGCCCTCCCCCCAAAAAAGAACAACACCATGGAACAAGGTATATTAACACATTTTAACCCTTTGCTTCTGTACATTTAAACAAGAACAAGTAACATCACAATAAAAGCTGTTTCACACGGAAGAAGAAAGAAAGAAAAAAAGTCACGGCACTGCATTCGTCGTGTGCCCTGGTTGGTTGGCTGAAAAACTGGATGTAGCAAAATGATTGGTTCGCAAGCTCGTATTTAATACAAATAATACAGAACCAACTCCTTCTGGAGGGCTGCTTCCCAATTGCTTCTTTCTTCTTCTTCTTCTTTTTTTTCTTTTTTTCCTTTTTGCTTTGTCATCAGTCTTTTAAAACTAAGCTATCCCCCACTACATAACAGTTATGTATATATATATATATATATTTTTTTTTTTTAAACGCTACAAAGACTTTAAACAGCTGTTGATAAAAATTTTGGTAGAATCATGAGGTTCTTCTCTCATCTACATATTTAAAAGGGAGACGTCGAAAATAAGAATGGGTCAAATATTGACCAATGAACTCGATAAACATTAACTCATGTAGCCATGTGGCACAAAATCAAAAGAGTACATACAAACACAAAGCCTTCCAAAAACAGGGTCGGGGAGGGGAAAATCAAGAGAAGCGAAATGAAAACACACTACACAACACAAGCCGGGGCTCACGAGGCGAAAAGCTATTCTAAAGACTTGGTTACCAGGGAGAGCGGCTGGGGCTGGGGCCCGGCCAGAGAGCTGTGGGAATGTAAGGAAGATGTCGACGGCTGTGCGATAGACGAGGCGGGCAGGACGGGCTGCAGCGCGGCGGCGGGGGGCAGGTCCAGGGCCCCGTTGGGACAGAGGGCGGGGGCCTTGCCGTGGGCGGCCTCGGCGAGCAGGAGGGCGGGCGGCGGCGGCATCATGGGCAGGTGGGCCAGGGGGTCGGGCTTCAGGGACAGCGAGAGAGGCTGCGTCTGCTCAGTCTGCGACTTGGCGTCTTGGGGAGGGGAGCCTAGCAGGTTGGGGGAGGGAGGAGGCGAGTCTAGTAAGCTTCCATCTGAAGAGGGTGGACTGAGGCAGCTGCCTTCACCTTGTATGTAGCGAACGCACTTTTTTTTTCTCCTAGAAACAGGGGAGAGAGGGTCTGTGAATAGCGGGCAGAGGTGCCAGGGGAGAGAGTCACGCGGACGTCGCCTAGCGGATGCCCCACGGAGGCGGCGCGGCACGCCCGTGGCCAGAGCGCCGTTACAGTCCCACGGGGTGCCGTGCCCACGTGCCCACGTAGCTTCTGCCCACACCTAAGTCCGCTCTGGTGAACAAAATACTTCATTGTGTGGAATTCCCTACCTACCTACCTGCTGCCCCTACCCCCACTAAACACCCATGACCCCCCCCTCCCCCCCACCCAAATGTCTGGATGCCACCTGTAGCTGGTGGCATCGATTTGCTAGAAAGTGAGATGAACTGATGAATGATTATTTCTCTTTGGGCTTAAGCATTCCCTCACTCTCCCATCAGACCTTCCCCCTACCCCTCATTTTCCCCCATCCCAAAGGTGAGTGTGTGTGTGTGTGTGTGTGTGTGTGTATGTGTGTGTACAGAGAAAGTCAGAGCTCCTTCCCAGGTGCCTCATAGGAATATGAGACTCTCCAAATGCTGACTACTGAGCCCACAGAGCTGAAGGCAGCACTAGCAAGAGGCTTAAAGTTCTCAACACACCACCACCACCACTGCCACCACCACCACCACCACCACCACCACCGCCACCACCAGGCTGCCGGGCCCAGAGAGCTGTCGGGCTTGTCTGTTAAGAACCACACCAAATCAAGAGAGGTCAGAATCAGGTGAGAGGAGGGGGAAACAAAAAGAAAACAAAATAAACTAAAAAAACAAAAACAAAACAAAAAAACGGAAAATAAACAAAAAAATCAAAAGCCACCAAAAACAGGTAGAAGAGGATCAACAAAGGTGGAGAAGGGGGAAGAATAAGAAAAACAGAAAATGAATCCAAAGGAACGAGAATAACTGGTTGTATGGCCTGCAGGTTGTGGATTAAATTATGATTCAGACTTGATTTTTAAAAATTTTTTTTTTCTTTTAAGATTTTGGGGTCTTCCCCTCCCTCACCCCAGAGTGAGAAGGCTGGAAGGAGAGACGTGAGGATGGCATGGAGGGGCGCCCCGAGGCTGGTAGCTGGAGGGTGCAGCAGGTGGCAAGGAGGTGAGACAAGAAGAAGTGCCAGGGGTGGGGCCCTGGGTCTGGGCTGTGCTGATGGTTGTTGAAACCATTGAGGCTGATTTTTTTTGTTTGCCCTGCACCAAACCCGGAATCTTCCTTTCCTACTTCCTGTTTATGGAAGGGACAGGAATGAGAATTTCAGAGCCTCGCTCGCTTAGCATCGAAGGTGGGGGAAATCAATTCAAGAAACTGAGCCTGTGACCTCAACGCTTCTCCCACTGTGAACCCCAGTGAGATGGAGGAGCAAAGGTGAGCCTGGGATCAACCCCCGTCACGCCACCAAAACAATGCAGATGCAGGGAAGGAGCTGCTCTAAGGAGAACCTAGTCAGGGGATAGCGACTAGAGAGGGCTGGGGACACTCCGTCCGAAAACTAGTGTGTGAGTGCCGGCCGGCTTTCCATGCCGGAAAGCAACTAGGCTGCTGCCTGGCGGAGGCAACCACTGTCAGATGTCACTGGCCATCGAGAGGAAGGGGTGTGAATGGCTCCTCCTTGGCCAGAGCCCAGGGCTGTCTGATCACGCCCCAGCGTGCGTGGGGTGTGGACTCAGCAAGATGGCAGGAGGGGGGATGGGATGGGGATGGGGATGGGGATGGGGATGGGGTGGGTGGGGAGGATAGGAAGGACATGCTTGGTCTTCCCTGCCTCCCAGAGGCCAAGACCCTGGGCAGGGGGCCTCAAGGTCTACCCACCCCTCTCTGGTGGGAGGAACTCTGGGGGAACGGGGGACACTAGTCCCCCTCACCTTCAAATTGATATGGTTCCTCTCTCTCCTCTGGGATAGACTGACATAGAGGGTGGGTCCTACTTTCATCCCAGAAGCCCAAGATCAATACATAAGCCTATCAATCAGAGTTTTAAACCACCTCCGCCTGCAGATCAAAACATGCTCAAAACACTAGGATGTCCATGCATTTTAAAATGGGAGAGGGGAGGAGGTGGAGGTGGGTGGATGGGCATAAGCAACATGGAAAAAGCAACAGGGAGAAGAAATGAGAGAGAGAAGAAAGGGCAAGGGAAAGGGGGAAAAACAACAGGAAATGAGGAAGGACATCAGGCAGCATTCCATGCTACATTAGGGCAGAAGGAAAAGATGGGAAAAGCAACTTGGTGGGCTCAAAACAGAATCTTGTTAAGAATGTGCTCAAATGTCAAATAAAATGAGAAACCCTGGGTCGTGAGCAAGGAGCTGTGACGGCTAGGAGCTGGGAGCGGTTCAGGTGCTCCCTGCCCCTCACCCCTCCCGGTGCCATGGGGTGCTCGGGCACAGCACTGTGGACATGTGTCGTGAGGACTGTGAATGGCAGAGGGATGGTCCTAGGAGGTGGCTGAGCAAATGGCAGTGAGCACACACGCTTCTGACGGGCCAGGAAAATGCCTCGTTCTCAACTTCTCTTTTTTAAAAACACATTTTGTCCTAGTGATTTAGCATCAAGCCAGATCCTGGGAAGAGTTGAGGGAAAAAGAGACAAAATCCATCTCTAATCAAGGAGTGGCCTCGTAAAAATCCATTTTTAGCTTCTTATGGGTTTATTGGGAAAGGAAGAATTCTTCCTGGCCCCGGTTTGGAGTTACACCCTAAGAGGAGCAGGAATGTATTGGCTAACAAGCTTTTAGGGTACGAACCTGTCCCCCACAGAATACAGTGGCCATAACCCACCCACAGTGCTGAGGCGGGAAGGACCCCAGGAATGACGAGGACCCCTTGGTAGCCACAGCCAGGCTGATGGCTAGCCCTGGAAGCTTTGGGTGAGAAAATCATGTCTACGAAGCAGCTACCAAGGTCTCCGGCTGCTTTTGTTTTGGGTAAAAATGTCATGAGAACTCTAGTCTCGGAGGAATTTTTATGGCTTTAGGTAAGGGCTGTGTCTAGGCAGGGGATGTCCGTCCTGTCAATGTTAGCGACGATGAACTTTCAATAATAACAAAAAAAGAAAGCCAAGTCTACCTCGCTGCCACTGCTTCCCAAACAAAACAGGGACTCATAGACCACGGCTCGCCTCCCCCAAATAAAATGGACAAACCAGGCAACAGTCCACCTGGCGAGGGGTGCGTGTGGTGCGGCCCTACAGATGGTAAGGAACCCTCTCTCTGAGCGGACCCGTGGTTAGCTCATCCTTGGACATGGCCATGGCCACGGTGGATGTCTCGGAACAGGATTCCCCAGCCAGTGATCGTCCTACACGGCCCCACAAATCCCCGGCCTGGATAGTTAGGGGAAGCAGGGCTCCTGCCTTCCTGCTGGCCCTAATGAAACACTAACATCTTCCGTCAACATCCCCAGGAAACTCTTCTCCGTTGCCCAGAGAAGACTGAATGGCTGAATCAACCCCCCTTCTGCTGGGCGTCCGCCTGAGGCCCCCCCCCATCCTCACTCACTGGGCAGAGTGTCTCCATCCACTCTCAAGCCCTCTCTCCCCTAAAAGTGTGGTCACTGCCCCCGTCTCTCCATTGGAAGGCATCGGGAGGGGAGGAGACACGGGAGTCGTGGGCATGCACGTAATGGGATGGACGTCTGAGCTAACGTCTAAACACGGAACGAATGGCAAAGGCATGGAGGAGAGGGACACGTGACAGGGGAGGCACTACAGACAGAAAGGCATGTGTGGGTGTTGAAATACCTACCATCATAATATTCCAAATTCAAAGACTGCTTGTATCAGAACAAAGAAACAACAAATTTAACCGAGGTGGTCACCGAAGGAAAGGAAAGGTCAGGCACTAGTTGGTATCCCTCCACCAAGAAGGAAGTACCTATCCCTTCCCTGAGGTTTTATGGGAGCCTGGGGTTGAATTGGGATGCTTCTGATTACTTTTGGAACCAACGTGAGCTCTTTCTCCCTCTCCCTCTCTCCCTCTCTCCCTCTCTTTCTCTCTCTCTCTCTCTCGCTCTCGCTCTCTCTCTCGCACTCGTTCTCGCTCTAGCTCTCACTTCTCTCTTGCTCTCTCAGAGAAATGTGTGTGTTGTTCGCCCTGCAGGCCAGCAGCACCACAGCATGGGCCTATGGGGCTCCCTCGGGCAGCCCTATTGGCTGGTGCCTGCCGGTCAATGCCATGCTTCTTGGCAGCACTGTAAAAACCATGTCAGCTACCGAGCTCCTCTACACACAGATGTGGGTTTTTAACATAAAACAAAACAACAAAACCAAATAATAATAATAATAATAATAATAATAATAATAATAATAAAGCCTGCCCCAGAGCATGTCTCCGAGGGCATGTCTCCGGACTCCGAGGGCACGGGAATGCTATTGCTGCCAACCCCAGCTCCCTCTGCACTCGGCGTTCTGGCCACAGGGGCATTCCCGGGGCTGGGCCAGCACCAGCGCCAGGAGGCTGGCTTTCAAAGCACAAGGGCCCAGTGCCTGTCCTGGTCTGTTGGGGCTGCTGTCAAGGCCCTACCACTGGGGTCATGAGTCGTTTATTTGAAAGAGGAGGGAGGGGGGAAAAGAGAGGAAGAGGAAGCGGGGAAAGCGAAAAATTAGCAAGGGAATTTGGAAGGGTGAGGATCATTAGTCATCGATGCCAGTGCAGGGTAGACGGGAACAGGGTCCAGATATATGGATGCGCTAAGGTACCAGAAGGACAGAATTGCTTTGATTTTTTTTCCCAAAGGCCTTGCCGTGGTCATATACCTGCACGGTTTGCACCATAAAGTCTGTCGGTCAAGCCCGAACAGTGCCCGACACTTCTTTGGAGTATTTGCATCTGTTAGCATAAGGTAAACACAAAAAAAAAACACAACACAACACAATGGTGGGTCGGGCTTGGCTGCGTGCAGACTCTCAGCTACCGCTGACCTGTCTTCCGCATCACCTCGGCTCTACTCACTCCTTCCCTCACCAAGGGCATGAAAGGGAAGGGCTTCTATGAGTCAAAAAATAAAATAAAATAAAATAAAATAAAAATAATAAAACACACACACATACACACACACAAAAGAAAACAACAACCAGAAACCAAAACCAAAACAAAAACAAAAAACAAAAAAAGGAAAAAATAAATAAAAACAGAGAGAGAAGAGGAGGGGGAAAGGCGACGTTGGCGTCTGCCTAGGCCAGGGTCACAGTCACGGTGGGTGTCCCTGAGCCCCGTCCCGGGCTGTCATGAGCGAGGGGGCTGGCAGGCAACGTTCCCAGGGAGGGGTGTGCTGGGCTTGGCTGTCGCTGACCCAGGAGGCACAGGGATGCTGTTTTACAGTGGCATTTTGGCTAGCAGCAGCGGGGGAACAAGCACATCCCTCACAGAGCAGTGTCCCGCGCCCTCGTGTCTCCTAAGATCCACACACAGAGCTACAAAGCGACAGGCCAGAGAGGGGGGGAAAGGACCGAATAGACCAGCTGCAAACCAGCACAGCGAATCTGGGAAATCTATACACACCTGCAAGGGCCGCACCAGTTATTCTGTTGATCAAGGCCAAAGCGCGCTCGGCATTTCTTAGGAGCGCTCAGGTCTGAATGAGTTCAAGAGAGAAGCGAGCAGAGGAGGAGGAGGAGGATGTGGGAGAGAGGGAGGGAGAGAGAGAGAAAAAGAGAGAGAGAGAGGGAGGGAGGGGGAAAGAGAAAGATACAAATAAGAAAAAAATAAAAATAAAAAAGGGAATAAATCAATGACCTGGTTACTAATTACAAAATAGCGACTTTCGATTTTTAACTTTCTTTCATAATAAAAAAGGTAAAAAAAAAAAAATCACATTCTTATTAAACTTGTGAAATTAGCTGTTGCAAATAAAGCTGCAGTATCCCTTCATTAAGGACTGTCTCAGATTCAGTTCAAGCTAATACAGGGAGCTTAGGTACTGAACAAGTAGCTTTCAAATAATACGTTTCCACTTTTGTTTTTTTTCTCTCAATTTGTTTTTCTTAAAGAAGAAAATAAAGCAAAGGAGGGAATTAGGTTTGTAACATGCTTTTTTCTTCTCAGAGTATAATAGTATTAAAAAAAAAGAAAAATACTGCAAATAAAAACAGAACAAAATGAAATGAAACAGAAAGAAACAAAGAAAGAAAAGAATTGTGGTACTGGGATATTGCAGCTTTTGGAATGTTCATCTTTTCTTTTTTAATCTATGTTCATTAATATTAAGAGAGGAACAGATAAAGGTACACAGGCTATGTAAATGAGCTGTTAGGAGTTAGTCAGAAGCTCATCGCAGCATTTAAGCAGGTACAGTCAGTAAAATGCTAGTGGGCTTGCAAAGTATGAGCAGAAAAGCAAAAGGAAGAAAAAAACTAAAATTAAAAAAAAAAGCGAAGGAAAAAAATAATCATACTGCAGATGCATGCTTGCATGAGAAAACTTAGTGGGAGCAATGAAAAAAAATGCCATTAGATTAAGGAGGTTTATTACTGAATTCCTTCCATTTTTTTTTTAAACCAGTCTCTTTTAAAGAAATACTGCATATTCAATTTGCACAGTTAGTTCAACTCTAGACCACTGTCATTACTGCTTAAACAACTGTTATGGGAAAAATAAATAAACAAAGCAAAAGTTAAATTAAATTAAAAAAAAGAAAAAGAAACAACAAAAGCAACTGAAAAAAATAATAATAATACTCTACCGAAACATACAAAACCGAGTAGATGGTCATTGTAAAGAATGTTCAAATGTCATACGTGTTTAATGTTAATCAAACTATAATGGCAAGAAAAATTAAAAAACAGTTTAAGCAACTATTTTAACGACTCAAAATGACATTAGCACCTGTAATCGGAGGAAGTGAAAGGCAAGGATTTAGGAAACATTCGCTGTGTTCTGAAAAAAAAGAACAAATTATACAAAGCCTTCAAAAACGGTTTTGTTGTTGGTCAAAGCCTGGCCTTCTCCAAGGGACCTGAGATTGCCTATGCAGTATTTCTAATTTCTCCTACTAGAGAATGACAAACCTCCTTAATTTAAGTCGGGTGCAATTTACCACTGTAAAGGCATGCATCGGAACATTCAGGAACAGCCCAGTTAATATCAAACACTCACACACACCCCTCCTAGGCCCCTAGCCCCTCCTTGGAGTAAGCAGACTGTATAAACCCGCATAGGCATGCCTACTGCTCTCCAGCTACAGGCTCTCTAGTTACTTCCAAACACATTCCACTAGAATTACAATGTGCTTTTCATGCAACAATAAATGCTACTGGCTTTAAAAGGGCAGTCATGAAGCAATTAATTAAAATGCATAAAAGAAAAGGCTGGCTAAGATGGGTCCCCCCCGACAACGCCCTGGCCTTGAGCTTCTACTGCCCCCCCCCCCACCCAAGCCTAACATAAAAGAGTGGTCCCTCAAGGGTGCTGCTCCTCCCTGCATCCTCTCCTCCCCACATCCGCATTATTCTAACTTACCATTGGTCTCCCCGGGCTGCTTGTCCCTTTTCCTCTTCTTCTTCTTCCCCTAGACAAACAGATAAAACACAGGGAATTACTTCAAGTAACAGGTGGGAGGAGGGTGTCGGGCTCCCCTGGAAAGGAGGCGGGAGGAGGGGAGCAGACTGCTTGCTCCTCTCCATCCACACCAGCTACACCCCCCCTCCCTCACCACCTTTAACCATAATGCCCAAACGAACTATGTGCCAGTCAGCAAGGACACCTGCCCGGAGCAGAAGAGAAGGCACTGATGGGGAGACCTCTTTCCCACACACCATGTCCCTCCTCAAACCTGACCCGGAGTCTCTGATTCCATAGAAGGATGAGGGAGACGGGAGATGTGGACCAGCAGGGCTAGAAGGGCCCATGAGCCTAGCGCCACCGGGCAAATGAGTGTTGAGATGGCTGTGGGGACTCAGAGCCTTCTGCCTCCTCCAAGCTTCTTATCAAGGCCAAATGGGCCGCTTTCAGAATCAGAAATTAAAGGCAGAAGCTGGGGTTTTTCAGAGCTGTAGCGTGAGCCTTGCTTTCAAAGGACAGAAGAGGGAATTTAGAAAAGCGAAACGGAACCAGAAATCATCCGATCTCCTTCTAAAACCGCGGCGTGGACATTCATTAAAGAGAGTCGCCGTCTCCATCCCCTCCGACAACACGGTACAACTCCTTGGAGTAACAGCTACTACCCACTGAGCACAGACTCCGCCAGCCGGGATTCTAAGTGAGCCGCGTCTACCGACTCATTTATCCTCACACAGTCCTAGACAGCAGGTACTGTCACCATTCCAACCTTACAGATGAGGAAACCGAGGCACAGAGGGGTTCCATAACGTTCCTGAGATCGCAAAGCTAGCCAATGGGGAGCCAGGATGGGAACTCTGCTGCCTACATCCTTAACGCCTTGCCTCAGAGGAAGGCTTGTGATGGGTTATGGGTGACGCCCTGCAGAGTCGCTCACATCCTCCAACCTGATGCTCCCTGAAGTCCCCGACCTTGCTGTGGGGGTGGCTGTGGGTGGGAACGGGAGGAGTTCTGTAGAGGTGACTGCCTCCTTTCAGACCTGAAACTCCTCCTGCCTCTCCGCATGGGGGCCAGTCCAGGAAATGTCACCAATGAAAGGCCTGGTCTCGCCTCTCCGTGTTCTGAGGATCTAAAAACTACCTCTGCCAGAAGGTTCTTGTGACACGTCAACATCAAGCCCGGAGGAGAAATGATCAGTGACGGGGAGAAAACCCAGCATGCACCAGGGCTGCGAGGAGAAACTCATGGTGGAGAGGCTGTCTTAGGGGCACCCCAGGGCGGACAGCCCAGTCCTAGAGGGAGCCCCTCTTTCTCAGATCGTGGGGCCTGTACCACTTGGGGGTTTGTCTTGGCTTCCAGTTTAGCGTTTCCACTGGGAACATTTTACGTTCCTAGATAGACTGTGGAAGAGACGGAGGGAAGGAAAAAGGCAGGGAGGGAGGGTGGATGGAAAGAAGGGAGGAGGGGGAGGAGGCAGGAAGAGGTCTGTGAGCCTTCTCTGGCCTCAGCCTCTGTCTTCATTGTGTGCCTGTCCCACGTGAGGAGTTAAGTGCCACCTGGCCACCTCGGGACAGGCAGGAGGGCCCAGTTCCAGTTCCGTTAGAAGCCTGGGCTGGGCGGCGGGCACAGAACGTGCCCCAGGGTGTCCCAGTCATTTTTAATCCGCTGTCCCCCCGTTTCTGATCTCTGGCAAGCTCTTGTAAAAGGCAGCCAGACACGCCACTGCCTGTGGGAAGCTGTCCATTTAGGAGAGACTGAGTTGGCCACGGCTGAGGAAACGGACACTCAGACTGAAGACCTCTACAGGAAGGGGCATGAAGAAGTGAAGGAGTACTATTAGCGAAGAGGGAGCTGCCTCAAGGAAGGCGGATACCCCATTATCTTTTTTATTTTTTATTTTTAAGGCCTAAAATATGGTGCTGGTGGTCGGGGGGTGATGCCGGATGAGCAAACGGCCTAGGCTCTCTCTCGCTGCCTAACCAGCAGAGCTAGACAGGGAAGCCTGTGCTCTGCCAGGGCCGGTGGCACTGTGGGAAGGGCTGCAGTCTGTGCTCCAGGCTGTGCCACCCCCACGCCCAATGGGACTCATTCCCTTCCCCTCTGCTGCGCTGGCGGCAGGAAGGCTCTGTCACTCGGCTGGAGAGGTAGGAACATGAGAGGCATGAGGGTGGCACAGAAAACCTTCCTGAGGAACCTTCTGGACTTTATAATGACCGAACAACCCTCTAAACCTCTGTCAGGTCAGTTAAAAATACTAACATGACACCACGATCAAATTCATAAAAGCTCCTGAGGTTTTGATTCTTGCTCCACAGGCTGTTTCCTGGGACATGGACAGAAGAGAGGGAGAGAGGGAGGGAGGGAGAGGGAGGGAAGAAGGAAGGGAAGAAAGGAGGGAAGGAGGGAGGGAGAGGGAGGGAAAAGGAGGGAGAGGGACAGCTCCACCTCGAGGTCAGGGGGTGGGTGGGGTGGGGGGTGGGGAGCAGCAAGCCTGTGGGGGAGCAGGAAGGTTCTCACGCTCTTCCTCCCAGCCCCAGCAGACTGGCCTCCCCACCACACACGTGCTAAGGACACGTGCAAAGCGCCCAGCAGTGCAGGCCCGGGGCGTGACCATCCGCGGGGGCCGGGGCTCCGGTTCCGCCTCCCAGGAGGAACAGCCTCATACCGTCAGCTCAGGGCGGCGGGCCTGGAGAAAGACGGGTGCTGGGGTGATGAACATGTGGGAGCCCAGCCCAAAGGTCCGGGCTCTCCACACTCTCCCTCATCCACACCCAAAGGGCAGGCTGGCAAGCGCGGGTGTGAGGGGATCGGAATAAAGGGGGGGAGGCCTGGAGATGCTGCTCAGAGCACACAGCGGCCGGCCTTCCCTCGGGACTCACGTTCCCATGGACCGGGTGCCTTGCTGAGGCGGCCACGCTCTGAGCCACTCAATGGGTCCGATTTAGCTCAGAGTCCCCACCACACCACGTGCACGGTAAAGTCTGCGATCAGCAGTGACGGAAGGGATCTCAACCCACATCCGGAGAGAGCGCTTCACCACGCCCGGTGCCCACGGAGAGCAGGAGCACCTGCTGGCAGAAAGCCACCCACGGCTCCAACAGGGAACAGGACGAGGAGCCTGTGGCTGCATGAAGACAAGCTGTCCCACTGCCCCCCAGAGAGGATGACAAAATCACTTCATGTGACCCAACGCTGGGCACCAAGGCACCAGGCAAACCGAGAGGTGTCTCATCCATCGAGAGGAGAGGGAGCCCAGAACTTGAGCCAATGGCCTAAGGTGACCAGCCGTCCTGCTTTTGGCAGGACAGTCCCGATTTTTAACAATTTGTCCCTCGGCGTTTTAAAAACCTTTTTAAAATGCTGCAGGACAAGGGACAAATTGTTAGAAATCGGAACTGCCCCGCCAGAAGCGGGACATCTGGTCACCTCACCAATGGGCAAAATGCAGAATAAGAAGGAACGATGAAAGGTGACAGGGGTCTCTGAGGACAGCGATGAGGGAAGAAGAATCATGAGTGTCACTCCACTGCAATTAGTAAAACAGACCACCCGGCAGCATTTTCTGAAATCCAGGAGAGGAAACTAGGCGAACCCTGCAGCTGACAGAGTCCAGGAACACACAGCTCACAAGACACACTCCTCTGCACGCCCTCGCTGGTCCCTGCCAAGGGATGACTTCTACTGGCTCTTTCAGGGATATTCCCATCATGCCCCTCAGCATGAACTAGACTCCCAGTTTTGCTGCACCACGGAATAAGACATTGTTTCGATTTTCCCTCTTAGGGTGAAGGGCCTGCTGGAAGATCTGTAAGGAATTACACTCTCTCCCTCCACCCCACCCCTCCCCATCCCACCCCACCCTCTTCCCCAGAAGGCCACCCAGAAACCATGGCTGAGAAGCCCTGTCCCTCCTCTCTGGATGCTGGCGGGGCCAAACTGAAGGCCACGACCAGACCCTCCGAGCCTGGTGCTCGGACGAGGTGCTAACGGTCCCCCCGCAGAGGGCAGGCGGAATCAAGCGGACATTCCCTCTGATCCTGTGGCCACCCGGCACCCGCTGGCAGACCGGCCCTGAGAGCAAGGATCCACCTACATAGTTATCCCGTGCGGACCAGCCGGGGTACAGCTGCATGTGGAGCTGCCGCTCCTTCCGCGCCAGCTCGTAGTATTTTGCTTGCTCCTCTCTCGACAGCGCGTGCCACTGGAGGGGGGGGGAGGGGGACAGAGAGAGACAGACAGAAACGTCACCAACGGCACTGCGGCGAGGGGTGAAGGCGGCTTCTTTTTTGGGTAAGTCCATCGGGAATCGTACCACCTGCGGACGATCTGCGGGGCCTGGCCCCATCAGGAGTGCTCCAAGCACTGATTGGCGTCCATGTCACTCCATCCCCTGCCCTCTCTGGGGGCGGGGCCGGGGGAGGGTCATGGCTGTGGTCATTGGAATCTGGAGTGACTGGCCTGCCAGTGTGGCCGAAGGAAAACACATGGGGACGGGACACCTCGCCACCCGACCTGCTGCGCCCCAGGCCCCTCTCCCCTCCTCCCCCGGGGAGGGAGCACCTACCCTCCGGCCCAGGATCTGGTTGATGGCCGCGCTCTCTTTCAACGTGCACTCGGCCACGACCTTCGCTCGCATTTCCTTCATATACAACATGAACGCGTTCAGAGGTTTCTTTATGTGGGGCTTCTTCTTCTCCTCTTCCTTTTTGGAGTCCTGATGCTTTCTGCATGTGGACAGGACAGACAGACACAGCCCCGTGAGCAACCGCGAGGGCCCACTTCCCCCGGGGCCCAGAGCCCGTCTCCTGGGTCCCCCAGCGCCCCCACCCAGCCGCTTTGAACGAAAAGCTCGCTTCCACCCTGGGTCTCGGCCACCCTGGACAACGGAGCAGAAGCAGCCTGGGGAGGGGCTGGGTGCACAGAGGTGTTGCAATTAGTTCCTCACGGGTCACAAGCACACCATTTTCCCAGGCTGAGGGGACAGCACCTGTGGCCGCCGGCACCTCGGCGGCAGCGCCTGCTCATAGGACTGAGCTCCAAAGGCGCAGGGATAGGGTGAGGGACAGGGATATGGTTGCAAACCCCAGTCCAGCCACGAACATAAAATACTCATCTTCCAGCCCATCCTCCTGTGAGGCTGGAGCCCACAGGAGCTGGGTGTCTGCCTTGGCCAGGGCCGCCAGCCAGGAGCCACCCTGCCAGCAACCACCGGCTAAACACAATGGCAGAGGAAAGTGATTGAAAGAGCAACTCTATCCTAGCCGGTGTGGCTCAGTGGATAGAGCATAGCCCTGCAGACTGAAAGGGCCCGGGTTTAATTCTGGTCAAGGGCACATTCCAGGGTTGTGGGCTCGATCCCCAGTGTGGGGCGTGCAGGAGGCAGCCGATCCATGATTCTCTCTCATCACTGCTGTTTCTCTCTCTCTCTCTCTCTCTCTCTCTCTCTCTCTCTCTCTCTCTCTCTCTCTCTCCCCTTCCTCTCTGAAGTCAATAAAAAATGCATTAAAAAGAAGAAAAGAAAAGAACGAACGACACTTACGAGCTGTGGAGCGAGCCGACGTCACTCTGGGAAGATTCCTGTTTGACGGTTGGCGTGACGATGGCCGGGTGGGGGATGCCAGTAGTGTGGAGAGTGTGATGTGGCGGGACCATGTGGGGAGGGAACCTAGAAGACAGGAAGCTGTGTAAATCGTCAGAATCAACATGAATGAATGAGGAGGGATGCGCACACGCAACACGACACAACAGAACACGCACATGAAAGCAAACCCACGGCATATGAAACCTGTCGGCATTAATTAGCGATAAATTAAACGTAATGATTCTCATAATGTCATTAAAGCCAATCTCCCCCTTCATTACGCTCACTGACAGGAGACGTTACGACTTCTAACGTCTTTAGCAAAAGACAAATTTAACGGATGCACTTGGGTGGCCAAGGAGGCTGGGGTGACCTGGTGCAGATCACACGCCCACGTGTGTGTGTGTGAGGTGTTCTCGGCGGCGTCTATCTGAGCAGACAATTTCCCGAGCCCTAATCGGCGCCAGATGAGGGGGGCAGGCTTTTGTTGTGTATTGACAGCCGGATGAAATATTCATGCGGCTGACGTGTACACACGCTTCTGACAGGGCTGCGCGGGCCTCATTAGGCCTCATTCTGTTGATGGGAGTGTAATACAATTTTTGTTTTGCTTTGGCGGCTCTGCCCCCCTGGTTTTGACAGGAACGGGGAAGACAGCGAGGCAGGGAGATGGAGACAATCCAAATATTCCCCATTTGGTTCTCATCAGAAGTCACTGACACTTTAAATAAGTTTGTATCGTCTTGTGGAAAGATGCAAAAAATAAAAAATAAAAAGCACTCTTTGACACGCACACGCAGAGCTTTTGAGTTCTGAATTCCCTGCTCTAAAATGCTGGGGTTCCTAATTAGTTTGACTCAATATACTGCCTATGCGTTAACCTTCTAAATGGTGTCCAGAAGTGGGAATAAAGACAATCAAGCGTGTGCCGTCCCCTCTGATGCTGCTTATTTCTAGGAAAGTCCTCTGAAGCACTGTTTACGCCCTGAAATGGCATTCCCCAACCGTGCAGACCCGCCAGGCAGAGAGCTGATTTCAAAATACTCTTGGCCTCATCGGCAAACTGACACTCGGACCGGACCAACAGTTGTCACGTGTCCTGGCATGCTTGGAGTCACCGTGATTTTTATTAGGTCCCAAGGACCACCCCTCCTAGAGGAACATATACTCAGTCCTCAAAGTCATCCATCGTTTCCGAGACTTGGAGCAAAACGACATATAACAAAACCAGTTTTACCACGGGCTACGTGACACAGACAAGAGTGAGGTGGCCATGGCACCTCATCAATGAGATAGCCCAATGGCACTTAAGGAGAAGATGTTCTTTGAGGGAAGTGGGCAAGGGGCAAAGGGGTAGGACCCCCCCCCCCAAAGGAAACAAAATGGCAGCTTCGGGCTCCCAGTTGCCATGGTTAAGCAGTGAGCAGAGGGGGGCGCTGTTCTGGCAGAGAGGAACCCAGATCAAGCCCCCGTGGCTTTCTTAACCCCAAGCACAGCAGTTCCATGCGCCATGCAGGGAGGACAGCCAACTCTTTAGAGGAAGCCAGTTCTGGTGGGAGATGCTAATGAGGGTTTCCCAAGACAGCTTCTTAAAAGGACCCTATGTTGACTCACAAGATTCTTTCCACAGGTAGACTGTGGATGAAAACAGTTTCCACTTAAACAAAACCATGTAACAAATGGCAAATTGGAAAAGGATTAAAAAAAAAAACCTCAAGTACTAACTGAATCCGCCCAGCTCAACAGAACAAATGCCGATGAGCAACGTGGGTCTGGGACAGGGGCCCAACATTCCACCCCGACACAGCCCTCGCCCGCTGCCTTTATTAACGTGTCAACATTTGGTGGTGTGAACGCCACGGTCTAATGAGAATCATGCGAGCCCTTTTAGGGTTTAAGAAAGAGAATAAGGAAGAAAAGGAAAGAAACACCCTACGAGAGAGAGTGAATACCACCGACTATGAGAAAGCAAGGGGAAAATTCATGTCCTTCCCCTAGAAAACATGGAAGCGAACCCCTAGGAGGCACTTGGGGTGCCCACCTGCATGCATGCCTTCCCAGGTCTCCTGTGCAAACATAAGTTAAGAATATGTGCTCCTGGGAGCCTTGAGGGAAGGGGAGGGGAGTGGCAGCCTTCACCGTGAAGGTTAAAAGGCTTGACATTCCTCAAGTACATATGTTCCCTTCCTGTGGAATGAGAATACATGTACAGATGAGAGAGAGAGAGAGAGAGAGAGAGAGAGAGAGAGAGAGAGAGAGAGAGAGAGAGAGATTGGAGGAAGCAAGATAAAAACACGTGTGTGTGCACCAAATACCATAGGAAGACACCACAGTTTAAGTACATTTTAGGGTGGAGAAAAATTTCTAGGTCAGCCATGGGAACCGAATACTGCCAAGTTCACATAGGTATACACGCACTCACATATCTGAAAAATGTATAGGGGAGAGAGAGAGAGAGAGAGACAGAGAGAGAGAGAGAGAGAGAGAGAGAGAAGTGTGTGTGTGTGTGTGTGTGTGTGTGTGTGTGTGGAGTGGGGCGCTATATGCATACCTTCCACAAGAAATTCCTTTCTACAGACAACTGTTTCCTGAAATGCAATAAACACCCTAAAAATTCCAAGCAGCTCATTATATGCCCCCGTCTGCTTTTGTGGCTCCAAGCCAGAATCTTAACTTGTTAAGGACAACTAATTTTTGTTTCTGGCTGTCTCAGGGGCCTCTCCCGTCCTCACTCTCACTTTCCTTCACTGTTGACACGTTTCTGTTAACTGGGTGTCATCTGCCGGCCTTGATTTCATGCACAAGCAGTGGGATGCATTTTCCTGTGCAACAATTCGGCTTTGAGTTGCATTAGGTTTGTCATTATTCTCTCATTTTCCCCCTTGCACTTGTAACATTTCATCTCTTCCTGCCTTATTTTTTGTGAGCCACGGTGCACCCACATTATGGTTTATACATGATCTCGCTCGCTTTGAAGTCGGCGGATTTCAGAGCCCGGGCTCGTCAGGAGAAGAGCCTTGCGCCAATTTAGCAGGCTGAGGGCCCGGAGCTCCAACATCTCAATCTAAAGGGGGTCACAGGGTGGCACAAGTGAGTGTCAGCGAGAGCTGTTTAATTGCCAATCTAGGCTTCTCCATGGTGTTTAAAGTATAATGACCCATCACTTAATTCTGAGGAGTCCTGGCCCCGCTGCTGAATAGAATGAATATCAAAGGGTATTCTGGAGCAGGGCACGCTGCCTACATTTCCTATAACTGCCATAAGGATAATAGACCTATACTTCTGTCGCCCCATTACCACAATAATGTATTTAATTTGCTGTATACGCTTTTTAACTAGCTACCTTTCATAGGGCCTACCTGGGGAATCGTCGTGGCCCCCCCACCCTGCACCCGGAGCCCCTAACCTTTCCTCCTCCCCCCACCCCTTCCCTTCCTTCCCTCCACCCCCCTCTGCCCACCAATAAATCAGCCACTAACCTCCTAATGATAATCCAATCAATAAGCTTAACCCCGATCCCCATCCTACGATTACTTCCCCGCGTTTAACCCCTGGAATGCACCGAGTACACAAACATGAGAAGCAACCAGGTGCTTCGTGTAACGGCTGCACGAGAGAGGGTGAGCTGCGGGTCCTAATCTCCTGGGAGACTCCCCGTTGGTTCCCAGGCTCCGCGGGGCTGTGATGACATCACTGAATGAACACTCATCGGTGAGGCAGGAGAAGAGGACGCGCAAGGATTCTCCTGCCTCCCCGATGCTGGCATGGCTCTGGACCCCGGTGTGACTTATCTACAGCATGGGGGAGACAGGTCCTGAGGGTGGCCTGACTCCATGGCATAGTGACAGATGGAGGAGTGAGAATCTGCCACAGAATCTTCATGCATGGGGTTCCTACACTCCCCCTTTTTCCCCCTCACCCAGATCCCTGTTCTTAGACGTAGGAGAAGCAGCATCCTGGCCTGTCTGTCCAGTCCCCCCTCTCGCCGTGGGTTCCCGTGTTGGCTACAGAGATTGGGGGAGAGACTGGGGTCGGCAGCTTGGCCGTGTAATGTATGCTAATTGAATTATGCGCCATCATCAAAATGGATTAGTTGTTGCAGCCCATCAGGAAAGTCTAAACCTCCACCGATTTAATTAACTTGACTGAAAATCAGATGAACAGAAAATAAAACTATCATTAGGAGCAATTAGTGACTGCTTAAACAGACTGCTGCCAACCGGTTTGTAAATAAACTCCCAGTCACTGAGAAATGAGCCAGAATTAATCAGAGGGGAGAGAGAGGAGGATGGATTAGGAAGGTCTAGGTACACACAAGTGGATAGGTGTACGCAGGCTGCATATGTATTTATATGCTTACAGGCACTTGAATGTGTACACACACAGGCCAATGTGGTAGCCACCAGCCACATGTGGTTACGAAGGACTTGAAATATGGCCAGATCAAACTGAGGTGCGCTGTGAGTAGAAAATACTCATCAGATTTCAACAACTAAGTCTAAATCCAAAAAGAATGTACAATCTCACGCTTGCTTTACAGGGATGACATGTTCAAAGGATAATATCTGACAATAATGGGTTGAAGAAAAGATATTAAAAATACCTTCGCCTGATTTTTTTTTTTATAAGTGTTTGTTCAATTTGGCTACTAGAAAACTTAAAATTCCAGGAGTGACTCACCTTAATAGTAAAATTATCTTCACCCTTTCCTTCCTTACCTAGTATAAAGCAACTGAGAAACAACACTTCATAAAAGCTCTGCATGTTCCAACTTCCTCCTCCTGCCTTCTTAAACTCTTATAAAAAATAGTGTTCAACCCGGCCAGTGCGGCTCAGTGGTTGACCTTTGACCTGTGAACCAGGAGGTCAGAGGTCAGGGCACATGTTGGGGTTGTGGGCTGGATCCCCTATAGGGGACATCACTGATGTTTCTCTCTCCTTCTCTCTCCCTTCCTCTCTGAAATATATATATATATATATATATATATATATATATATATATTTATTTATTTTTTTTTTTTTTGAATAGTGTTCAATTGACGGACTCAAAAATTTCACCTCACAATTTCACCATCACCCACTTAGGAAGTGCACGATAGTTTTTCAGTATTTTCTAGGAAGAAAGCCAAATGCCAGATGGGTCTTATGCCATCAGCACCTCCAGCGGCAGCAGGCCCTGGGTGGCCTGGGCACAGCCTAGAGATCTCTCGGCGAAGTCAGCCCTGGCCTTGGTTGAAGGCCACCGCTCTTGGGACTCACCTGGACATGGAAGCGTTGACAGTCAGAGCTGTGGGGTAAGGGTGGCGGAATCCTCCTGTCGTGATTGGGTACACTGGCTGGCCTTGCCTACAAAGAGGGGGGGCACAGAGTGAGAGAGTGCCACCAAGGGTGGGGGTGGGGGAGAGGAAGAGGAGAAGAAGGAGAAGTTCTCTCTGCACAGTAAGCTTTATTCTCATTTGATCAGAACAAAAATCTTGGGGATTGTACAGGAAGGATCAAAGGGAAGAAACACAGAACAATTTGAATGCCATAAATCTGATAGGAATGGCTAATTAAATTTTATAACCTCTGCTTATGTCAATAGAGACCCTCTCCCCAAGCTGAAACTAGGTGTTTTGTTGTAATAATTAAAGGCGAAGTCTCGCTTGCTTTAATGGAGCCATCACACTAATTGAGGGCTACACATCCAAAGGAAAACAATAATGAATGTAAATTTATACCAAAATAAAGTACAGTGAATCAAAGGACTTCAGTTGCGCTTTGGGCCTCTTTCGGTATTTAGATCTCGGTGAGAAAACATTAAATTAACAGAGCTTAATTTGTAGCCTTTTGTCAAATTAACAAGTGTTGACAAGAGTTACCGGGGGGGAGAGTCCCCAAGAAGAATTGTGGGTAACCAATAGACAATCACACCTCATTACAATAATTAAAAAATACAGCAACATGCAAAATAGCATCCTCATGAAAGACACACAACTTTTCCTGACAGAGGACTGCCTGAGTTGGCTATTCCTTTTTATCCCAGCCTTCAAATATCTCCCCATCAGCTGAAAGGGGCCAGTGATGACTGAGAACTACCGGAGGAATGGCCCAAAATCTACTGAAGAAGAAATGGGATAGGAACTCACGTTGATGGTCCATGTCTACCTTCCCCCAAAATAGTAAGGAGAAAACAATGAACAGAAACTCTGCTCAGGGTTAGTACTCAGTGTAGCTACTACATAGTACAAGCTTTTTTGAAGAAAAAAAAAAATGTAGAATCTGTTCAACTTGAGAAATAAGGGTAGAATGGGGATGGGAGGTAAGAAACCACCCCAAAATTATATCTTCTTTAAGGTTATGAAAGGCAGTATTCCCAAGACCCACCCCTGAGCGTTTCATCAGGATTTATTCTTGTTAAGATTCAATAAATTGCCCTGAGTTTTTTAAACAGTAGAGATCACAGGCGCATGGCGTAAGCATGCAGACAAATAGACACGGAGCCATGCAATCACAAAACACACGTTACATGCTTGCACACACAGTTGGCTTCTGCACCCAAACCCTTTCTACTCTGGGATTTTTAGAACCCACTTTTTAAAGTTGTCTGAGGAAGGCCGATGGGTGGTACTGTGAAAGCAAAATGGGGTGATAGGAAGATATATTGCCAAGGGCAGTTTGATGACCTGGGCACTGCGGGAGCTGGCTGACATTCGGCAGGCCCCACAGACTGAAAGACATGAGCTCCCCTGCCCCACCCCTTATAATCAGCATTTAACATGCACAATCTCATAGAGATGCTGGTTAAATAGCACGGAGCTTCTCAAGAGATAAAGCTTCCCACTGTTGGTGTCAACCTTGAGAAGTCATGGTCAGGATGGAGCTGGAGCATAGCCCCACCCCTGGATTTCAAAACTGGGTTCTGCCCGTTGCCCCTCTGCTGCTGCCTCAATCCGATGTCAGGGCTCCCGTCTGGCTGCCACAAGCAGAAGAGCTGTGATCAGTGTCATTGGATAGAAGCCCTCAGAGCCTTCTACGATTCCCTAAAAGTACCTGAGGGACACCTTTGGTCAGAGACCAACCCAGAGCCATTGGGACTGGGCTCAGAATGCTAAGTATCAAAACCCCTTTACCTACACAAGCCACCGGATGGCTGTTGGCTTGCCCTTGCCCCCCCACAGCGCACCTTCCCCCCTCCCCGTATTGCCCCCCCCAACCTGTCCTCTAAAACACACACGTCCATGCACAGAAGAAATAAGAAGCATGCCCATGCAAGAAACAAAAAGTAAATTAAAAAATGGAACTCCTTACTGTGGTACTAACCATCCTAGCGGATGGGGGATTTGTCCTACGGTGCCCGGAGACAGTGGGTAATACGGAGATATATCTGGAGGGTGCGGAGGCCGTGGGATTCCTGGGGAAAGAAGCGACATTTTTAGGTACAAAGGAGGGAGAGAAGGAAAGAGAAACAAACTGGAGATGGGAAGAAAAAAAGGGCAAAGAGGTACCTCTTCTGTAATCCTAGCACGAGGTTCTTTTTCTGATTATAAGCATATTGGTTGGGAAGTTTACTTATTGAAAAGTTGGTCTAGCTCATTCTAGATGGATCGATACACTAGGTTAATGCAGACAGACTCAGAAATAACATCTTCGGAATTTCTATCTCATCTGACTGATGTGATTTAATTTTTTTTTAATCTAAAGGGTGTGGCCCATAGTGAGTGATCAACTAGGTAATATTACCTCCTTTGCCCTCATGACTTGTCCCCTCACTCCCTTGAATTCGAACAACTTACCTACACGACTCTAGTTTCTGCTATACTTTATGAGTTATGTCTTTTGACTTCTCTCAAAAATATTAATTCCTCTAGAATGTCCCCATCCCAGCCTAGAAGATGAGCTATAGGGGGAACTCACCAACTGCCCTGGCATCTTACCCAAGGAAAAAACTAAACTGAACAGACATGATACACTCAGTGCTAGAGATGGACAGGGAGACCTGGTACACTCAGTGTAGAGATGGACAGGAAGTCATGGGAGACCTGGTACACTCAGTGTAGAGATGGACAGGAAGTCATGGGAGACCTGGTACACTCAGTGTAGAGATGGACAGGAAGTCATGGGAGACCTGGTACACTCAGTGTAGAGATGGACAGGAAGTCATGGGAGACCTGGTACACTCAGTGTAGAGGCTGATCCTGGTCTAAAGGACAGTCACAGGTGGGAGTTAGGCCCGCCTGCCAGCTGAGTGCTGCTGAGGCCTACACGGGCTGACCTCTGTAGGTGCAAGCCATGGGAGGCTTCTGCATTCACAGGAGAGCATCCTGCCATCAATGCTTAGAAAGCAAGCGCGCTGGGAGCGACTCTGACCCCGGGGAGCTGATCTCCCACTGAAGGGCGAAGCCAGGGGCAACACCACGGAACTCCCCCGGCACTGGAGGCAGCGAGAACCACGTGTCTGTGGGCCGAAACTATTTCTTTTAATTAAAAAAAAAAAAAAAATCATTCAGGAAGCTTTTAATCTGTACGTGAAGTCTCCCTGGGTGACATTTTCATGCAGGCGCAGTGGCTCTCTCCCCATTACAAAAACCAAACAGATTAGCTGGGCTTGGACCCTACGCCGAGCCATTCGCACACTTGAAAGAATGTTCGTGGAGGAAAAGTAAACAGTCCGCAGACGTTAATCATATGTTTTACGATAACCATTTAAAAGCTATTCCCTGTACTGCCATTATTCAAATGAGCCGTCGATGCTGCCATTCACTCCCGGGTGGCTGGCAGCCCCCGCCAGCCCCGCAGCCAGGCTTGGCCCCACGGCACAAAGGGGGCTCAGAGGCCGGGAAACCAGCTCATGTGTGGCTCCATTCAGGGCAGCGAAGGCCACCTGCGTGGGCCATCTACCTCTGTCCGACACCAAACAATTCCCTGACACAAACAGCCATTTAAAACCCATCCCTCTGATGGCCTAGCCGGGGAGGGAAACCCCAGCCAGCGAGATACACCCCGGCCTTTGCTTCCCCCCAAGATCCTGCCACCCGGGGCTCTGGCTAATCTGCTTGTTTTAAATCTTGTCGCTTCTCTCTCTCCCCGCTTTGGGCAAAAGCAGGGGCGGAATGCAGGGAACAGGGCCCCAGGAGAAGATGGAACCTTCTGTCTGAGATCCTACTGGCTGCTGGGCGATGCTGGGAAGAAACCCGGGGGGCTCAGTTTTCACATCTGTACAATGGGCTTGTGAATGCCCAGGGCAGGCATCATAGGGGAGGAAGATCCCAAATAAACCAGCACCGAGAGTGTGGAGCCCAGCAGTGTGGCTTCTTGAGGCAGCACCAAAGCCATCATCAAGTGACTGGGGTGACTGAGGTCCCTGAGCCACCAGGGGGCCAGGGTTCCAGGGAGCCATGCATTAGGGCTCCCAGGGACCTCAGGAGGAGCCCATGAGATGCCTCCAGGGCTATTACTGCCTCCAAGTCTGTCTGAGGGCCTAGGAGTTGTAAGCTCCTCACAGCCAGGTTCTCAAGGTGGCCCCTGCCAGGAAAGGGGGGGGCGCTGGAGAGACCTCCCGAAGAGAGAACGGTGTCCCAGCAGGCTCTGGCTTCCCAGTCTTCCCCTCCAATACCCAGGGGAGGGAAAGGAGCCTCCCGCAGCCCCCGCCAGTCCCCACCCTTCACACCCCCCAGCCGGTCCCCTGTGGCCCCGGGACCAGCACAGCCTCCCGGGCACACGGCCTACCTGTTTTGGGGTCTACGTCAGCTGGTAAGTGTGGAGGCGGGTTTCCAGGGGTGAAGTGTTCGTTGCTGTAGGTGATAAGAGGCGTGAGAGGGTGGACATGGTGAGGGTGCTGCACCACGGGCACTTTGTTCGACTGCGGGAGGAGAGGAACAGAGAGAGGACCATCAGGCTGGGTCCCCAGCAGCACAGGCCAGGCTCCCCGGCCACACCCTCCCCACCTCGACTTCATCAGGTGCACTCCATCCCGCCCTCGGCCCTGGCCCCATCCACGCATCCAAATCACAGTTCTGAGACAGAGCTCTGGGTAGGTATACCTCAGTTTTTACCTGCCCACTGATTGTGGCTTTTAAAATACCTTCTCCACCACCACCCCATCATGGAGCCTGAGAATTTGCACTTTTCCCATCAGCGGGTACAACGGAAGTGGGTACTCTAATCTCCAAGGCATACTGCGTTCTTGCATGCGTGTATGTTGTGTGTATGTGTGTGTACACACGTGTGCATGCCCCAGAACCCCACCGGAGGGACTTACACGAGGCAGGCAGGTTCGCAGGGGGCTGGCTAGGAAAACCTTCAATTTCAAGAAAACCCACCAGGGCCCAAATCTACCCCCTCTCCCAGCCTCCTCCTCCACCACCCCTGCCCCTGCCCCCTCTCTGCCCCTTCAAACCAGCAGCATGGGCCCCGGGCATGCCACAGTCCTTTGCAGAAAGGTGGGTGAGAAGTCCCACTCCTGGCCTGCCTGGCAGTGTGAACTTTATCAGAAAGCTCTCCACTGCCAGGCAAGCACCTGAATATTTTATGCAGATTACCTCAGCCCTGACTCATTAGGAATTTCATTAGGAAGTCATCAGGGAAATCTAATAAATTAGCTGGACGATGATGAATTGGGCTAATAAATGGTATGCTTTTTTAGAAATGGGAAGTTGTAGAAAAACAAAGCACTGGCATTTTTATGTTTGGGAAGGGCAGACAGAAGGAGAGAAGCGGGGGTGGGGGAGAAGGGGGGCATCTTTAAGATGTTTCTAGTTGCCATGACCAGACTTTCCCAAATTATTCTCCTCCCCTCCCCCTACCCCACGCCCCCTCCGCTGTGCCACGCTACAACTTAGCCCAGCAAGATCACAAAGAAAAAATTAAGCTGAAACAAGCGAACTACTGGGCCATTTACTGAGAGTAATCCAATTGCAAAAAACCCTATTCCCAATAGAGGATTTCCACTAAAATCCTACAACAGGGACATTTAACCAGATTAGGTACCAGGGAAGATAAAGAGGCCAGTATTAGATGATGAATGGATTAGAGTCAAGTTTCATTTCAGAACGTGTCTTCATTCCCTTTTATTACTTTTAGGAGGGCACAACTTGCATTAACATCAAGGAAGAGGAATTGCATTAAAGGGAGAGGGAGGGTCTCGTGCTGCTCACCAGCGCCTCCCGAGTTCAGGGACCACCAAGCAGTTAGTCCTCACCTTTTTTTTCTTCTTCTTCTTCTTTTTTTTTTTTGTAACTAGGTGAGGAAGGGGTATAACATACAAAGAGTATTTGCTACCGGTTAATTGTGGGGAAGGCATCTTTAAAAAGTGCTTCTCGCTTTTTTATGAAGATGTTTGGAAAGAAAAATATAGCCTTCTTGATGCTCCAGAAAGAAAAAGGAAAAAGAAAAAAAAGAAAAAACTACAGAAAAAGAGGCCGACCCTTCCCACGGCCTGATTTAATGATGCCTGATTTAATGACGCCTAGAAACAATGGACACTTTGGGAGGAAGGGCCAGCTGCATGCACACAGGAGCCTTGCATTGTGAGTTATCAGTGTGCAATCGAGGCACGAAATAAAATTTTTAAAAGGAGGAGGAGGCATGGAAATTAAAAATGCCAAAGAAGAGGGGAGCTTTGGAACCCAGTAGCACACCCTTCGCCAGCAGCCCTGATGGTCTGGACAGGCCAAAGGCCCTGGAAGGAAAGGCGCAGCCCCCAGGCCCACGGGCCATCCGCTGAGGGTTCCTTTAGGGGACTCTGTGCTTAGGACAGCCTGACAAGTAACCAACAGGCAAGCTCCCACTGTGTGCAGGGGTGGAGAGGGAGGTGGGGAGGGAAGGGACAGCCATGGTCACAATAAGCAAAGACCAATAAAAGGAGATGAAAAGAACTGCTGCTGCCTTCCCAAGTTTTCCATTTGGTTGGAAAGGCACACGCCTGCCGAAATGAACGAAAGCAGGCCAGGCCCAGACAGTTCGACGTAATTGCAGGGTAACCGTGAAACTAGAGGGACAGACGGCCCAGGAGGGAAAGGATGGTCACTCAGAGCTTGAAGGACTCCCAGGAAACGGACTACCACACACAAAGGGAGGAAGCAAATTAATAAGCCCGAGAGCGGGGTACGAGGGCTGCGAGCGGGCGGGAAACTGGACGTTCGAGGTAAGCATCTCTCAGGGTGCTTACCGCCGATTCAAGAGCCTGATCCCAGAAGATCTTCCGGCTCAGACCTGAGCAAGTCTCACTGGGTCCCACTCAGTGCCATGGTCCCTTGACCAGAGAGCCAGGCAGGCACAGACAAGCACACAGATTATGGAGAACCGAGTCCTGCTCATCAATCAAGTCCCCGTGTGTGAGGGAATCCATCCATGGACAGGGCTTAGCACAAACCCTCCCCCAGGGAAGCACGGGAGGGTGGTCTACCATAGTTACTGTTACTGTTACTGTTACTGTTACTGTTAGGGAGGAGCTGCCCAATGTCCTGGTTTTTTGTCTGCGGGACGGAAGTGCCCATTCCAAATCTGTCTTTCAAGCAAGACTAGCAGGAAACGAGGGGGAAACATTTCTTTGTCTGGCAAAGAATAAAGACAGCATGTGGGCAGCAGTGGTGTTATTTGGATGTACAGACAGTCCTCGAGTTATGTCGGACTCCACGAACGTCGTTTCATGGTTACGCACCATCCTCCATGGATTTATATTTTAAAAAGTTCCATCCTTTCGATGCATGCACATATGTGCTTTATATTTATATATTTTATTTACCGCAAGGAAAGGTCAGGAATTGTCTTTCTTTTAATTATTTTTTACTCTTTCGCTTCATTGCTGCTGTGTCTGTGCTCCATGGGAGGGATGTGGGTGCTTACGTAGGTGGGTTCCGACTTACATGGCGAAAATTGCATTACGAGGCACCGTAGGAACGGATCTCCTATGGAACCTGAGGGCCTACTGTACGCAAAATTTAAAAATTAGCCCAGCCGGTGTGGCTCAGTGGTTGAGGTTGAACTATGAACCAGGAGGTTCGATTCCAGGTCAGGGCACCTGCCCAGGAGGCAGCCAATCAATGATTCTTGGTATTAAATGTTTCTTTCTCTCTCTCTCTCTCCCCCTCTCCCACACCTTTCCTATCTGAAATCAATAATAATGTATTAAAAATTAAGTCTCCCTTTCGCTTAGACAGATGTAAAAAGATTATTCCAGCAAAAGGTGGGCACCTGACCTGGCTGCCATCCTGTGATATTATGTGTGCACCTGAACCTCGCCAGCTGTTTCTTTCCTGTTTGGTCTGAACTGGAAAGCATAGGGGTGGCGTGAGTGAATGCAGTATGAACGGTGCCTTTCGGAGGGAATCAGACACGGTGCTGTTTTCTGATCCTCCCTGCCTGCCCGATAGCTCCCTGAACCACAATGGAGCCACAAGTCTCTCCAGGCGGACGGGTTCCCAAGCAAAGCAGGGATGTAGTCACCGATGCAAAAACCAGGGCCTAACTACCACGGGCCTCCTGCACCCGGGCTGCTTTGACAAGAGGATGTGCTTCCAGAAAGAGCCTCGTCTCTCCAGCCTCCGAACCCCACCGTCCTTCCTTCCTACGCTGCCTTACGCCCATGGCTGGGGCCGTGTGTTCACCTCTCTTACGTTCCTTAAGCCCAAGGACTGCGTCTTCTAGAACTCTCTGTCCCCTGTCATGCCCAGCCCGTGGGAGTGACGAGCACATGTCTCACAAACTGCACCAGAACCATCAAATTGCAGCTGCAAGTATTCTGAGAAGAGAAGACAGAGCCAGCCTCACAGGTGCATCTCAGCCAACGAGAGTGCTCTATGCACAGCGCTGGGGGAGGGGGGAGGCAGGGGAGCGCTTCAGAAACCATCCAGCCTAACCCTGTGACCACAGGGCCTTCCGTGGCTCTAGAGCTCCTCGCGTGCCCACGGTGACCAAGGTAAAGCCGTGAACTCAAGGAAGACCTGGGTTACATTCTGCTTCACTGGACGAGCTATGCCACCTCTCCCAGGCCTCCGTTTCTCTGTGAACTCCAGACAGGAACTGTACCAACCTGACTGAGAGGGTTGTGAACATTAAGAGATCCCGCATGTACAGGGCTTAGCTCAGTGCCTGGCACAGAGCTGCACATGCCACCCAAAGGAGACTTTGACCAACACCACCCCGTGAACGCAATGATGAGCACACGTGGAAGAGGCTCACCGCCCCTCCCGTCTCTTCTCATGAAATCCATGGGGAACACGCAGCAAAGGTGAGAGTGCTCAATATGGGGCAGGAGTGTATGCAAGTTTTATAGCCACCTTTTAAGAAGGTGCCCTTCTTAAAAACACGCTAGTCGATGAAAAATGTCTGTGTTTTATGATTTCCCTTGGGGGGGGGGGAAATAGTCACGTTAGTAAGCTAATAAATAAAGATTGCCATAGAAAAATTGAAGGTGAGATAAATATAGCTCAAGATGACCAAGATCCTTCCAGAATCAGGGGGAGGGCCCTGACATCAGAGCTGACAGAAAGGAAACACACAGCCACCCACCTTCTCCCCAAACCACTCCTCCTTTAGAAAAGGTCTTTAGGAACTGGGTTCAGAACTGCATCGCCCTGAGGAAATTCCGATGTGAGAAGGACCTTTCTCCGGGGAGGGGGACCCTGATAACCCCCCAGAACTGCAGGCAGCGAATCTAAACTAAAGCAGCTATCTAGCTCGGAGGGTCTGTGGGACAGTCTGAAGCAGCCCCTCCCCCTTTTATCTTCTGACAGACAGGCTCCTGTGTTTCGGTCAATGCCTGCAACATAAAACCAGGGGCCTTTCAGGTCTTTATCTGAGTATGAAAGTGGCTTCTAGCCTACCTAGGGGGACAAAATCACTGCCCCCGGAGATGTGTCA